ACTTCCAAGGCAAGGGATAAGAATATTGATATGAAACCTCGGTCATTGCACAACCATAAATTCAGGAATAGCTCAGTTGCTGGTACTCATCTTTGTTAGTATTTTGTCTTCTAAGCTGTTTGGCCTTTAAACATCTTTCTAATTGGTTAGTGTTACATCAGAGGACAGGAAGCCATATTTCAGGGAGAAGAAAGCATTGCCAAGTTCTCTAAGCCCATCACAGAAACTAATAAGAGGTTTGTCAATATTTCTCTCCCTCGTGTTCAATCATCCATGTTTAGCTTTTAAAATATTTTCCTATACACTCATTTCTGCCATAGGGAAGAGTGCTTTATGAATTTTGGGGTTTTTACTATAACATAATATCTGCCACAACTCTCTCCACAAGTTTACAAGTGATAAGACTATACGAACACATGTAACTCTAATACTACCTCCGTTCTCTTTTAGTTGCAACATTGGTGATTTTGTACTATTCACATATTCTACTTTGACTACATTTTATATAATAATGTATTATAAATTAACTTTTTAAAATTTTTTGTTAAATTCCTCTCATGTTAAATTTTCAAATTCTGGATATTTTAATTTTTTTAATTTCAAACTTGTGCGTTGTCAAACGTGAAAAGTGGACCATTGCAATTAAAAAACAACGCAGGAACTGAGGAGATATGAGTTTGCATCTTTCTTTCCAGTTTCCACTCACCTCAGTTCTCCTTTTAAGAAGAGGATTAAAGCCAGTCAATAGGGTAAACAGTAGAAGTTCACATATAAACCTAGGGCGTGGTTTAATAATCTAATGGTTAAGAGGAGTGACTGATGTCCCTAAATTTCAGAGTTCAAGAAAGTTGAGGTGCAGAAGTATAGTTCTTCTCCAAGCTGTCTTGATACTACAAAATCTTGTGATGGAGGTAGGCTAGAAAATCTAATATTGCTTCACATGTATGTAAAAATCTCAGTTCTGGTTTTATTCTTTTGACTATCTTCTATTTGCTTTTGGTAATGGCAACTTATGCAGTTTTTTCCACTCTTTTTTTAAAGAATGGCAGGTCTTGTACACCACTCAATTAACTCAAAAAGCTAAGAAATTCCATGATGGTTTTTTACGAGTTTCGATGAGTGGTTCACAATGCAAGCAGGTTGATTTTCTCATTTGTTTGTAACCGGCTGCCTAATGCATTCTCTATTTTCTGAATCAGCTTCTCAATTAGCTTGCATTTACTTAAGATTCTCAGATTCTAGTTCCACACTAATCGGGGTGAATTATTATGAACTTAATATGTAGTACTAGCTCAGACACTCACACATTCATTATCAGTTGCTACTTTTGTGTTCTGCCAGGCCATGCTCTATGATGCCGCCAAAGGACTCTTAGGTAGTAAGTTTCTGAAAGCGAGTGAAACTATTCAGTGTGGCGAATCAATAACTTTTGATGGTTTCTTAGTAGAGATTGGAGAATGTGAAGGAAATCAAAAGCCTCTTCAAGACTCAAGTTTTCAAGGAAGAAATATTGGAGTGACACATGATCAATTACACTGTCAGCGTACATCTCCTTCTGGTAGAATAATCACCTATGCAGTTTCCATTTAATGAAGTGCCTGATCACTCATATTTTTGTTTTCTTTTGTAGTGTAGAAGCTACTTATATTAGTCTATTAGAAAAACTATATTCTCTATCCCACTAAACTTTGCCAACTTTCCTTATTCGGGTTCTCAAAAACTTTGACAATTTTCCTTCAATGTAACAAATTATTGGTTAAAATTATTTCTCCCTCAGACGCACAATTCTTACTTTCTTATTCTACGACTCTACGTTATAGGCAGACTTGGATAAGCTTAGTGAGATAGAGGGAGTATAATTTTGCTAAAATATTAGATTCCTAAATTCCTTTGGTGCCTATTTGTAGCTTTCCTGTGGTCTCACTCTCACGCATGACCATGCACTTCACTTTGACTTAATTTTGTATATACTCTGTAGTCTGTGTTATATACAATTATGGGAGAGAGACAATAATACACTCCACCTGTTCTTTCCACGATGCATTAAGTTCTATAATAAATGCAGAATGGGATGTCATGTACACTTCTCAGTTAACTCAGAAAAGAAAGAAGTATAATAGTGGAGTTCTGAGACTCTCATCTTGTGGTTCTTTTCAATCTCAGGTCAGTTATATTTGAATCCACATTGGCCATAATATTTGATTGTGCTAGTCATCTTTGAAGAGTATGTGCCATAAGTGATTAATCGTTGCTTTCCCCAAATCCAACGAGCCTGTCTAGCAAAGAGTAAAATACATTCATTTATTAGCAAATGTCATGTCATGTTTGAATCAACTCCATATGCAATGCAGGTCACCCTGCTCACAGAAGGGGGAGACATACTAGGTCGCAGGTTCCTCAAGTCATCTGAACATGTGGAAACTGGAGCTACATTAAATCTTCTAAATTACTTGGTTGAAGTTGGCGAAGCTCACACAGCTCTAGAAGGTATTTTTCTGTTGTGCATGGAAAAATGTCCAATTCCTATATATGAGGTTTTTTGCAAAATATATACAGTATGATATAGCATCTTCGTTGGCACTCTTTGTAGTACTTGGGTTGTTGGCCTTAGTACCTTAGGGTTATGCTACTTATAGCTCTTATGTTAGTATGTAACCGTGAACGTGTTTTTGTTTTATTTGAATACATAGAACCTCAACATGGCGCTTATGTGCATAAAGATACTGTTTCAATCACAAAAAGATTCAGTGTAAACCATAGCAAGTTCAGCAGGGGCATCTCTGCAAACAATTCTGCTCTTGAAAGCAATTCAGAAACTTTGCACTGTAAGCATTAATGAACCTGTAAACATACTAAGTTTCCTCTCTTTTTGGCCTATTCTTCCATTCATTGTTTGTGGAATCTAAATTCCATAAGGCTCAATATACATTCATTTGAAGAGTATATAACTGCTGCCTGATGTAGTCAGTAGTATACCTATGCAGTGGTAAAACTATATGGTGAGAATGTGAGATGATATACCCTCATCATAAGCTACCTAAATCCTAAAATAAATACTCCATCCGTCCTAATTTATGTGTCTTATTTTTCTTTTTGGAATGTCCCAAAATAAATGTCATATCTCCTATTTTGGCAAAAAATATATGGTTCATATAGTTTCACTTTATTCTACTCAAACCTCAACCACAATTTTATTAATAATTGTGTTAAATCAAAACAAGACACATAAAATGGGACGAAGGTAGTATCAAATATACTTTATGGAACATTAGTACTACAATATTTTCAGGATACCATTTTAGTGTGGCATAATTTATGCCCAGTGCCCCAATGAAATTTGTATTGAGCTCTCAGTTTTCACATTTCTATCAATTTCAGGCAAAGCTCAAAATAGAACATCTTTGAAAGAGGGCGTGAATTTGAACACTACAAACTCCAGTTTCGCAAATTCTACCATCGGTGCAGAAGTTTCCAAGAAGCACGTACGCGCTGGTAAGCTGTGATACCCCACTGTTCTTTAGCTATTTTTTCTTTATACTTTTTCCATCATTTGCAATGGAGCCAAAGATTCATTATTTTTTGGCTTGAGATTATGATAGAATAAAGCAAAATGACTCACTAAACTGTCTGCGCTTCTTTGTTATGAAGCAGCAATGAGTCCATGCAATTTTGGACGGGACTTTCTCTATGTGTCATCCGGAAACAGTCTCTCTGTGCTTTAGTACAGGGTAAGACTGCGTACATCCGACCCCCTTACCACACCGTAGGTGGGAGCCTTTGCGGCACTGGGGTAAATGAAAATGAAAAAAACTTTGATACATGAGGACCGAATCAGATTCTTGGTTAAAGCTTTGAAGTTTAGTCAAGATCGCAATAGACCATATATTGATTTTATTTAGTAGTTTTGTGTGTGTGGGGGGGGGAGGGTGGGGGGTGACTATAAAGTTACCCCTCTGTATGTATACTCACTAAAGTTCACACCTCTTTGCAGCTTGTGAAATCTTGTGTATTCTAAAGAAACCCATTATTTCGGGACGTGTTTCAAGGGAAGGTGCCTCTACTGATGAGATTGAAACAATGCAACCATCAGATCACAAGAGACTTCGCAAAGAAGAAGATGAAGAAACCATCATTACAGATACCACAAGCTGCAAACCTATTGCTGTTGAATCTAATGTTTACTTTAGAGGCAAGCTCAAGTTCTCTTTTGCCTTACTAATGAATATGTACGGAGTAAAACCAAACCCACTTAATAGACTTTTTTTAGTCAGTGCAAGTGCTATGGTTTGATCGTGTACATGTGCAGAAAATCTAACCGGAGAGATACTTGGAGCAACAACAAATGACCTAGCCCCTAATTTTTCTAAGATGGTAAACATTAGAAACATAAAACCAGTTTTTATCATACCTTTTCCTCTTCTAATTGCTTACTTTTGCTATTGTTTTTAAAACAGCAGCCGTCGTCCTCACATGAAAGTTCTGTAGAAATTGGAATACCAGATGGAAAAGAAGAGGAAGGGAACCCAAGATTGGAAACAAAAAGAAAAGAAAAGTCCTTTGAATTTGCTTTAGGGGTGATGCAACATTTTCAAGAGACAAAGGAGTGTGAAGTAGAACCACTCTGTCCTTCAAAATCCGAGTCAAGTGCCCTTGAAATGGCTGTCCTTCGTGATACTGAAGACAACGTTGAGCTAAACACAGGAGGAAGTATAGATGATGAGTTTCCAAGTTTTGATCTCGGATTTTGAACTCAAGTTACTCAACCAGTGCAAACTAATAAGCTTCATTTATATGTGGGTCATAACCATTTATAAAGTCCATAACATGTGGAGAGAGGGTTCTTACAAGAACACTCTTATTATAAATCCAATTTTTGTAATATTCACACTACGGCACTTATGGAATTATTTTACAGTAAGTGCCGAAAAACTACCCTATTAGATTTAGGATAATTAAAAACATGATACCCCATGAGTGTTAGCCAATGATTAGGAAATGGAAAGTAGAAGTTAAAAGTTCTCACATTAAAAGGTGTTGTCATAATAAGAACCTTTCATATATCTATATATATCACTACATCTTGTGGTGTTCAAATGAAAAAGGTTATCTTGAAGAACAACACATGGGCTGGCTGAAATATACACAAAGTTATCCATGCTGAAATGAAGAATGGTTTCTTGATTCCCTTTTTCACCTCTTATCCTGGTAACTGGATGCTACTTCTTTTTTTGACTTATGGATGTTAAGTAATGCTTTCAGCATATGTTTAGTCTTTTTAGATTGGAGTTCCAAATCTTGTGGATCGTGCCTTGCTTGATTTATAGGTGCGTGAACCATTCTCCTAGGCGCTGATGGGCACTGTCATTTCACAAGTTAAAGCTATTAGTTGTCTATATGGAGCATCACTTAGCTACTCTGATCAGAGATAGGTGATAATATTATGAAGCATTACCCGTTGTTGATTGTAAGGAGTGGGAGAATCCGATCTATTGGCATATGATCCCGATCGCTTAATCATAAAGCGAAGTGGAGAATGTGACCGCTTCTCTGATTTGGGATTGTCATGTTGATGTTAAGAAATTTCACTATATTATACTGGCACTACAAGTAACAATATCTCAATCTGTCTATGCATGTGTTGAAACTTACCAACTTCCTTGCTAGGTGCATTCCTCATAAAAGAAAATGCTTGAGGATTTGGTTTTGGTGAGGCTTCTATTGATGATGGCTTATGATTTCTTTTCCTGCAACGTAATTATATCCCCTTAGCTGCAACAACATGTCTATAACTATTCACAAATAATAAAAAATGGTGTCTCCTTAGAAACCAAACAAGGATGCCCCACTTTGATTATAGGGATGAGTTCGGGTTTGACCCCACTATAGAAGTAGTGGTAACAGTAGGATTACCCTTAATGACAAGGAGATACTAGTTTGTGATATGTTCCATGTTTTGGACTCCATAATTCAAAAGAACGGTGAATTAGATGGGGATGTAACCCATAGAAGCATAGCATGAGGACGGAATGAAAGAGTGCACCAAGATTTCTATGTATGGTGACTAGAGTGAATGATAAATTTTATTGAACACCAATTAGGTCCCTGCATTAATGTATGTCGTAGAGTATTAACTGGTGAAACAATTCACATTTATGTTCTTTTATACTACGTACTATATTTACCTTTATTTTATCATTTTTATTGTACCTTATCTTTTTATTTTTAGAAATTGCTCTAAATAGGAGCAAAAACTTTTTGAAATTCCAAAATAGGAGTATCATGTTTTTTATTCCCTGAATATGAGTAATCTGCCAAGTTTGGAAGAAAATGTCATGTTTTAAAGCCTAGTAATGTCAAACTTGGCAGAAATATGAGTAAAAAAGTTTTGAAATTCCAAAATAAGAGTATCATATTTTTTATTTCTTGAATAGGAGTAAATTTCTGTGAAGTTTGACATTACTAGGCTTTAAAACATAACATTTTTTCCAAACCTGGCAGATTACTCCTATTCAGAGAATAAAAAACATGATACTCTTATTTTGGAATTTTTTTTTGCTCCTATTTAGAGCAATTTCTATAAAATTCACTATACTACTTTTTTACTGATCTATTCAAAAACCATTTATTTTCGTCACTTTTTGTAGGGGTAACATTGTCCCACCTCTCTTTCAAAAAAAAAACATTGTCCCACCTCACTTTCTATAAAAGACATTATAATTATCACTTTCTGTGAAAGACATTACAATTATAATTCAATTCAATATGGGTATTGGGGGGGGGGGGGGGGGGGGGGGGGGGGGGGCTTTGGGAAGGGAAGGAGCCTTATGGACCCAACCTTGTTCCCTAGTCTGTAGCCAGTTTCCATTTTTAGCCTTACACATCACGATTATGGCACAACTTTCTTGCCAGGTTCCACGTTTTTAAAGCATGTCTATGCGTATTTTATTTTTGATCATCTGTCTATGCGTATTTATTTTAAATCGAATTAGGTGATTTTTAAATACGGAATATAAATTATTAAAATAAGTTTTAAAATTACAACTTCACAATTAGAGGCTTATTAGTTGGTAACATAAAAGAATAACACGTGAGTAAATAATTTCACAAAAAATGGATGATACTTGCTCTAAGTTAAATACTAGTATAACAAAAGAATTAGACTAATAAGCTGAATACATACTTTTAATTTAAAAACTTACGGAGCAATATTTAGATTTATGAACAATTCATAAAAGGATCAGTCCAATAATTAGGCATTGGATATAAGAAAGTCTTTGCAAGCATGGCTGCATGGATTTACCTATGTATGGGAGGACGTCCCTTTGCTGTACTTGGTCTTAGAAAAGCTGAAAGTCAAAGCAAGTAAACAATTAAAAAGATAGATTCTATCGTACCCTTAAGGTATCATACCTTTGTCCATGTGGATCAATCGGAATGTTGTAGTTGAATTATTTAAATCTAAATTCAAAATAATATAATGATTTGAATCAATCAAGTAATTGGTATGTACGGTACCCCATTTTTACCCCATTTTTAATAGGTACTGGAGTTGGCACTTTAAAAAAAATGTACTCAATAAATACACTCAAAATACAGCAAAACAAAAATGTACCTCGCTTGTAATGACTTCGGTGCATATCCTCTTCTAAGTACACTGAGGTTTTCTCTGAACTGTTTTTCTCATTTGACTTTCCTAAGCCACACAATGTGCCCCTTATTAGACTGTAAAAATAGTCGTTAATTCTCCTCCAGTCCCAATATTAACTACGATTTTGACTTTATTAAGAAAGTGAAAATTGAATAATTGAGAATTGTGTTGAGAAGAGATAAATAATACTACCTCCGTCCTACTAAGATTGAGACGAGAGGAAGTGACACGATTATTAGGAAAAGTGGGTTTGTGTGGTTGATATTAAATTGATAAAGTAAGAATAAAGTAAGAATGATTTAGAGCCACACAATCTTTACCAAATTTGGTATGAGACAATCTTAGTGGAATTTCTCGAAAAAGTAAAATGGAACAATTTTAGCGGGACGGAGGGAGTACCACGTATTCCGTATGAACCATAAATGGTTGGTCATAAGGGAAAATAAAGTTAACTTTGATATGGGTGAAAAAGGAAACAATGAGTTAATATTGTGACGGAGGGATTAATTAAGAAATAAAATGCAAAAGAACATAAATAAACAAAGGTATATATACTGACAAAATATAATATACGGAGTATATAATAAAGTCCAGAAATTGAATTACGGTGGTTGATATAATAATGTTTCTGATACTTTGGTGCTATGGCAGCCAAGGAGTTTTGCACAAGTCCACTCCGGTCAATGAATTCTTGGTATGATCTTGATTTCTGTGGTCCATCAATAGTAAAAATTAGTAATTGTTATATTATATATATATATATATATATATATATATATATATATATATATATATGTGGGCGGCAAGAGAAAATTAATATATGGCAAATCCCACATTTTTCACATGTAAAACTACAAAATCCAAATAAAATACACTATTCCTTCTATAAAAGGAACTTTTTAAAACATTTTTTTGAAGGGAGAAATCTTAATAATAAAGAATTTGACAGAACTTCAACGAATCATCTGGACGGTGCAATTTTTCTTCACAGAAACACTTTGAATCATGCTTTCTTTGCCCCAATAAAATTAAACTCTAATCTTGATGGTTCACATAAATTAAGAAAGCGAAAGTTGTGCCAAAGAGAGTTCATATAGTTTTTCTACAAGTATAACCATGATTTTTTTTATACTACTCACTCCATTCTACAATAATAGAACACTAGGTAACAGAAATCAAGAAAAAGTAGGGAATTTCAAATGCGGTAGAGAAAGTGCCAAAGAGAAAGAGTAGGAAGTAGACAAAACATGTGAGAGAGAAGTAAAAAAGTGATAAAAATACGGAGTAGGAAAAATAATATGAAAAGTAAGTAAAAAGTTTCCAATAGATTTTGAAGGTCATAATTGGAAAAGTAAGTTAAAAGTTAAAACATATGAGAAATCAAAAATTACATTTTTCATAAAAAAGTTGGTTGAAAACATGTCGAAATAGTCTAACTTGTTCTAATCAAATAGTCAAATCATTTTTTTCTAAAATCATTATTTTCAACATCATTTTATAGGGTGATTGTCATTCATTATTTTCTACTCCCTCGGTAACATTGACATCTTCTCACTTTTCTTACTTTTCTTTTGTAACCGTAACATTCATATCTTCTCATTTTTAAATTTTCTCAAATATCCTCGATAATTTTAAAAATAATACACTATTACAACTACTTTTTTGAATGTATCTTTCATTCCAACACATTATTTCATTATCTTCTATTACACCCTCAATGATTTATATCTTCTATCATTGTTCATAATTTCACCTAATTTTAAGTGAGGAGATACTAATGTTAAGGGAGATAGTATTTAATTAGCCTATAGAAAAACCATCCATTCCACAGTACTAACCTGTTCAATGCAGGAGAGTCGAAGTGTTGTGGAAGAAAACTCATCCACCTTTTCATCCAAGAAAGTGTCCAGTTTAGATGCCACACACCCCAAGTGATCCACTGTGCTAATCACTGCTTTGCTCAAATAATCCTTCAAGCTATCCACCACTCTAATCACAGCAACCATTTATTTATCTACTTGATTAAAAAAAAGAACACTTTCACATTAATTTACTTAATTATCAGCATCAATTTAATCTCACTTACAGGCGCTGCTTCTGTACTTCTCCAAAAGACAACTCAAAATGCTCTGCTGCTGAGTATAATTGCATCCTCAAACACTTCAATTCCTGCACATAGAAATTCAAGAAATCTGTATTTGCAGATAGATGAACACAAAACATATAATTACTCAAACACCCAGACCTTCAAACTGTCTGCGAAGTGTAAGCTGTGCTGCATAATGGTTTCATCATAGTTGGAAGTTTCTTGATGAGCATTTACTGGATAAGAATCACAAGATGAAGGAGATTCTCTTCCCATTTTGAAGTCACTGTTTTTCTCAGTGAGGCTGAATGAGCATGTGATTTTTGGTCAATCTGTAAAATCAGTTTTAGATTTCTGCTCTGAACTATGACCTTCAAAATCTATTGAAAGTGCAGAGTATTTTAGAGGGCATATGAAAGGGAAAAAGTATCAATAATGCATTGGGTGAGGATGATGGCCAATGGGGTTGCTACAAGTCTACAACTAATTTGTAAGGCTCTGCAGGCAGGAGTGGTTGTGCCAGAAATTAATTAATTGATATTTTGGGTACTGAAATGTAATTTGTAAGACAGGGCGGACACAGTTTTTCGTTCCATCCAATACCTATTTTTAACATCTAGCGAGTGTACTGCTTGTGTTCTTGTTAGCCAAACTTGTTATATTGTACACCGTCCTAAAATCTTTTTTAATTTGTTTTTTATAATCTACCCCGCTCTAGTGGACATTATCAAGTTTAGTTCAGAATAGATGAGAAATAAGAAAATTAAAAATTGTTTAGTTGAAGTTTGTTAAGAATAGAATCATATATTAGATGCTTTAATAGGAAATTTACAGAGATTTTTTAGACAACAAAAAGGGAAAAGTTGACAAAGTTCAATGAGAAGGAGGGGTATCCCATTTCCATTTATTTTCTGATTTTGAGTATCAATTCAACACAATATGGTAAAAATAAAATTGACTAAATATGTTGAATTTTGAAAATAATGACATTTAAATAATCAAAATAAATGTCACAGTAGTAACTTTTGGGGAGTATTTTTATTTAATTTTTACAATTAATTAAGTGACAGTGAGACTCACTAACTTTAATGCGTAGTCATAGTTTTACCGCTTTACTTTTTTACCATTGAATTAATATTTTGCGAAAAAACTCAGGTCTTAACATACTTTATCAATCCCCGTGTCAGTCAAACTTGATAAAATTTTAAGGAATGTAGGTAGTATAAATCGTGAATTCTTTGTGATAAAAAGAAATAAAGATTATTTTGAAATGAGAGAAAAAGGAAATAAGAAGATTAATATGAAACAGAAAGAGTATACATTTAGATGTTGATATTTAAAATGATTTTATATTGATCATGATCGGTAAATGGCTGATCAACTATTTTTCAGCTTATTTGACTATTTTCAATTGATTTGACCAGTCAAATTGTCAATATTTGTGTTTGGTAAGTAGCTAGTGAGCAGGGCTACACACCGGGGTTGTTAGGTCCGGTTTCAGTGAGTTTCACTACTACATTTAGACACTTTTTGCAACGACGAAAAGTGTTGCAACAAGTTAAAAAACTATTACAATATATCTTATGTAACGATTTTGTGGTGTTACATTCGCTCGCGTTTTGTAACGGTTGGTAACGCTTCAAAGACAAAATGTAACGATTTTGCTCTACTCCTTGAAAGTGTTACATAAATTGTAAATCGTTACAAGAGTGCAAATGTAACAACTCTCCGCACGTAAAAAGTAATAATTCAGGGAAAATGTGAAATTCTTAGTTATTTTATTATTATTACTAGTATTTTACCTGTGTGCTGCACGGGGTGTAAAATACTAATATTATAAATCTAAATCATTGATTAAAGATTATATTATAATTTATCACTGGAATGAGAGTAACCATTACTAAATGCATAATAAAAAATATTTGAAGTTTAACATGCATACAATTTTACAAATTATTGAAGAATTCTTTGTTGACAACATTTTTGCCGTCTTTTCTATTTTCCCTCGTCGTCGCATATCACGAACTTCAATCCAGACGTACTCGTCACTCCAGAAACTGCAACACATAACTGCCCATGGGTAAAACCGAACGTCATAGAAAAACACCCACATTTTCTAACCATTGTCTTTGGTTCTTGTTCATCGTCATTGCATAGCTAACCATCAAGGGAAATTGCCTATACATAAATGTGTAAGGTAGTCTCATTAGTTCGAGACATCATCTATGTCTCAATACTATGTTCACCTAGTTTTGTCACTAAAAGTCGGGTACCATTAGATTGTTCTTGTTAGCCAAACTTGTTAAATTGTACACCGTCCTAAAATCTTTTTTAATTTGTTTTTTTATAATCTATCCCGCTTCGGAGGACATTATAAGTTCAAGTTCAGAATAGATGAGAAATAAGAAAAGTAAAAATTGTTTAATTGAAGTTTGTTAAGAGTTGAACCATAAATTAATTACTTTAATAGGAAATTGTAAGAGTTTTTTTAGATAATAAAAAAGGAGAAGTTGACAAAGTTCAATGAGGAGGGGTATCCCATTTCCATTTATTTTCTGATTTCTAGTATCAATTCAACACAATATGGTAAAAATAAAATTGACTGAATATGTTGAATTTTGAAAATAATGAAATTTAAATAATCAAAATAAATGTCACAGTAGTAACTTTTGGGGAATATTTTTATTTAACTTTTACAATAAATTAAATGACTGTGGGACTCACTAACTTTAATGCGTAGTCATAGTTTTACGTAGGGGTGGGCAAAATAACCGAACCGGCATGACACCGAATCGGACCGGAAAACGGGATTTCAAAAGGTTCTCAAAAATTTTGTCCCGAACCGGACCAGACCGATTCCATACCATGCCATGAACGGTTCTCATAAAATGAGAACCGGTATCGGATCGAACCAAACTGAATTATAATTTTATTAATTTATATAATTTTATAATTATATATACATGTATACCATATTACCATTACTTTGATTACTCATTTGGTAATTGCTAGTTATTTATGTTTTGTACTAGAGAGAATTCTTTAAATAGGAGTAAAAAAGTTTTGAAATTCCAAAATAGGAGTATCATATTTTTTATTTCCTAAATAGGAGTAAATTTCAGCCAAATATGGCATTACTAGGCTTTAAACATGGCATTTTCTTCCAAACTTGGCAGATTACTCCTGTTCAGGAAATAAAAAACATGATACTCCTATTTTGGAATTTCAAAACATTTTTGCTCCTATTTAGGGCAATTTCTATTTGTACTATTATAGTTTATAAGAAATTCATTAACTATGTAATACTACCTCTGTCCCAAAAAACTTTTCCATTTTCAAAACTTTGACCAATTATATTTTTTTTATTGAGAATTATTTATAATATAAAAATTATATGAAAATGTTCTTTGTTAAAAATACTTTCATAAAAGTATAAAATTTATAACTTCCATAATATTATACTCCCTCCGTCCCGCTAACAATGGGACAAGAGGAAGTGACATGCAAATTAATAAAAAGTTGTTTATGTGGTTGATAATGAATTGATAAAGTAAGAATAAAGTAAGAATGATTTAGAGTCACACAAACTTTGCAAAATTTTATATGGGAAAATCTTAGCGGGACGGACCGATAAGGTAAAACGGGACAATCATAGCGGGACGTAGGTAGTACTAATCAAAATAATGGTTCAAATTTTTTGAAATGACAAAGTTTTTAGGACGGAGGTAGTATGAAAATTGATAATTGTGTACATTTTTGGATGATGACTAAGTTTTAATTTATCGAAAAAAGTGGCATTGTTTGACATTGGTATGACATGGTACCGGACCGTTTGAAAATGGAACCGAACCAAACGGGTTTGGGTCTAAGACCGAACTGAACCGAACCGTTTCAATAGTAACGGTCCGAGTACGGGTTCGGTAAAATATTGGACCAGACCGGATCGCGTCCACCCCTAATTTTACCATTGAATTAATATTTTGTGAAAAACTCAAAACTAAAATACTCTTTACTTTATTAAAATATTCATATTCATCAATTTCAAAAAATTGTAATACGGAGTATAAGCTAACACCGTCACCCTAACAAAAACAAAAAAATCTATTTGTACACGTTCTTATACACGTTTTTATACACGTTCTATCCATTTTTTGTCTGTGAATGAGTTTGTTTTGTTTGTCACAGACAAAACACGTGAGTTTTGTCTGTCACAGATGTTTACAGACAAAAAAATATGATCTGCCACAGACAAATGTATAAAAACGTGTATACAAATAGAATAGTTGTAACAAAAAAGGAAGGATGGATCATGGGTTTGCAAATGAATCCTTGTCCAACATTAAATCGCCCCACACAAATTTGTTCATTATTACTTGAAAATTTATTTCAGCCTCTTGACCGGCTGAACAACTAATCTAGTGGGCACAGAGAGGCCTGGAGCGGGAAGGCATAGGCAGCATTTGGGCAGTAGCTTACATAGAAACGCCATGTTTGGTAAATGGCTGATCAGCCATTTTTCAGCTTATTTGACCACTTTTATTTGGGTTGACCAGCTGAATTGTCAAAACTTTTGTTTGGTAAATAGCTGGTAAAATTAGATGATTGGTCTCCAAAAGCTAAGTTTCAAAACGCTAGCAATAGCAGCGTTTGTGCTTGGCCGGTTGCTATGTACTACCTCCGTCCCGCTATGATTGTCCCATTTTACCTTATCGGTCCGTCCCACTAAAATTGTCTCATACCAAATTTGGTAAAGTTTGTGTGGCTCAAAAGCATTCCTACTTTATTCTTACTTTATCAATTCAATATCAACCACATAAACCAATTTTTATTAATTTGCGTGTCACTCTCTCTTGTCCCATTGTTAGCGGGACGGATGGAGTAATTATTTAATACTATCGTACCTATTTAAACCTTCATGCTACTTCAATTCCATTTAACGTTTTGTCTTCTATGCATCCAGTTATTATTACTTTGACGAGTACAAACTACAAACTACGCCTCTTTAATCTTTATAAATTGAGTGTTACTAGTTTATTTATTTATTTCTCACAAATGCTGATATGCATCGTAATGCTTACATGATGCAGCGCACCTTCTTTAATATAATTTTTTAAATTACAAATAAATAGACTTGATTTTTTAATTCAAATTATCCACATTAAATTAAAATGTTTGTATCAATTTATTCTATTTTTCATGCAGTTTTATCTATCAAATTCTAAAATTTGAATGGTTTACTCTGTAAGTAGATAATATTATTTTTATAAGCAATAGTTAAAAATGCAATGAAATAGTAATGTCCTTATACGTCTTTTTGCATTCAAACAAATATTTTATAACAGTTAATTTTACCAAACATTTATTAACAACAAGCTAACATAACCAGTCAATCAAAATAGCTGACACAACCAGCTGTGATCAAACAGCTGACATAACCAGCTAACAGCTAACAGCTAACAGTC